AAAATATTAATTTTTTCCAAAAGAATTGACTTGTGGAGGGCCAAACACACATAAAATACATACAAACCATCCAATCAATTATAAGCTTACATCATATATATATTTTTTCCGTTCAAGCGTTCACCAACTTCATCCTTGTGCTTTGCACGTGGAACCCACGTGGCAAATTCAAAGTCACTCAGCTGTAATTTTTCAACTCATAAAAAAATATTAATATCAATAAAATATTAATAATATTATTACTATTTTAAGAAAAAAAAGTGGACTTTTTATCCTCCCTTAAGCTCCTCTCCACTTCTCCGCTTAGTGACGTCTCTCTCTCTCTCTCTCGCCTTCCACTTTTCTGCATGCCAAATAGAGATCTAGGGTTGGGGTTTTCACGTTTTCTGGGATCTGACGGCCTCTTACCTTCTCTGGGAAACCGAGGGATCTTTAAGAAGGTTTGCTCTCGCTTTCTTCCGATCGATATCGCCCTATCGGGCATCAGTTTGATCAAGGTCTTTTTTTAGCTGTGCTGATTTTTAATTCTAGAATTTTGATGGCAATTTTTGTTTGTCTTGTTCCGATTCGGGCATGCGATGTGTTTCCTTCGATTTGGCTGCAAACAATTGGTTTTAAGATGGTCCAGATCGAGAATTGTTCATGCTGCGTTTTCTGTGATTTTGGCAGTAAAAATTCGGTTTTGTTGTGTTCTATTGATCTGATGAATCAGCTTCTTGTTTTTGGCATACCGATGATTCCTGCCCATCGGTGTGCACTCGTAATTTGTCGATGGTTCCTATGTATAGACTGCGCGGCGTTCTTTGTAAACTCGATTGATTTATGTCGTTTTATTTGGTATTCCAAGTTCCATTATGAATCTCTTTAGATGATGAAACGTTATGCTGAATTGATACATTTTTGCGGAATTTATAGTTCACGCAGTTTTCGCTCCATCTCTGGCTTCTAGTGCTTACTAAACACTCGGGTAGTCCGAATCAGCGAAGGGGTAGTGAGCAAATGGTTTGTCAGGGCGACCAGTAAATTCTATAGAATAGATACCTGCTCTGTAATGTTTTCTTGGAATTGCAATGATGCAAATGGGATTGTGTATTTATAACTCAAGAGAATTGATTGAAGGAAATGGCTTTATCTAAGTCTTCGAAACAAAGAGGAGGATTATTTGACCACACTGACTGAATTACTCATAGAATATAAGAACTTTCTAGTCCAGTTAACTATATTAAACATGAGCTATTGTTACTCCACATTGCAGACCCCATTGTTTTCTAGGTAGATGCTATTTGTGGAGGTGTAGCCTATTGGGCATCTGTCACCTGTATTAGTTTACATTTGTTGGTAATATGTTGACATGGCGTTCTAAGTAACTATGGATGGAGCTTTTCATGTCTTGTCAAGGACTTGAGGACAAAATTTTACAGTAGAAAATTCTAATGCATTGAATTTTTAGCAGACTCAGTGATATGCCTGGAATTTGATCAAGTTCCTAACTTTTCATGTATTTGATCAAGTTCCTGGAATTTTTAGCAGGACAAACTACTTAGTGTTTGGTTCATTTCCGGCATTGTAATTGGAATTTGAATTAAAATATAATGAAGTTTGAATTGGAATAACCGAATATTTTCAAATTTTTGGTCATGTACTCTTGGGATTGAAATGTCCGGATCCTCTTAACATTTGTTTGCCCTTCAACTACAAAGTAAGTATCAATATTAAAGTTGTTTATAATAACCAGTAGTACTATATTACCTCCAAATATTTTTATTATTAATGTGACAATTTTTTTTATTTTATATCATTTTTGTTACTGTTATGTTGTATTTATGTATTATGCTCCCTATATTTAGAAAGAAAATGGAGGAATTTAAGGCAAATGCACAATATCTTTGAATATCACCATCGAAGCATATACAGTTCTAGGATTATTAGTCTGGTGCTTTGCCACCCTTGACCTTGTCATAGTTCTTGTAATGTTCACCTTTATGACAAAGCTGTTTCTCTCCTTTGCATTAGTTTTTTATTTTAACAGAGGCTTTATGGTGGTCAATATCTTAAATGATCCATTTTCTGAGATTATTAGTCTGGTTCTTTGCCACCCTTGACCTTGTCATAGCCTCTTGTAATGTTCACCTTTATGACAATGCTGGTTCTGTCCTCTACATTTCCTTTCTATTTTAACAGAGGCTTTATAGTTTTCAATATCTTAAAATGATCCATTTTCTGGAACCTTTCTCCTTTTTCGCTCTTTGATGATATGTCAGGTCCTTAACGTGGATTTTTGTCCAATTATTTATGCAGAAAAAAATTGTGATGGCTTCATTCACATCTGACAAGAAGGCAGTCAAGGTGAACCCCTATGTGGACTGGGTCAACATAAAATTGGATTTTGATTGGAAAGATGTGACTTGCTCGATCTGTTTGGATTTTCCTCACAATGGGGTACTACTCCTATGCTCTTCATATGACAAGGGGTGTCGGCCGTTCATATGTGATACTGATCAAAACCACTCAAATTGTTTGGAGAGGTTTAAAAGTGCACACGGAGTGCCTGCTGTTGCAAAAGACATATCAGCTTCAAATGGTGTTTCTATGGTATGCATTCAGGACATCTCTTCGAGCCCCAGCAGCCAACCAACCTGCCCACTGTGTAGGGGAGATGTAACAGGGTGGCTCATTATCGACGAGGCCCGTGTCTACTTGAACACGAAGAAACGATGTTGTGAAGAGAAACATTGTGAATATGTTGGAAACTTTTCTGAGCTTCAGAAACATGCTCAATTGAAACACCCACATTCACGCCCTTCTGAAATTGATCCTGCACAACAACTAAACTGGGAAAATTTCCAGCAGTCGTCTGAGATCATAGATGTTTTGAGCACTATACATGCAGAAGTACCCCATGGAGTGGTTTTGGGTGATTATGTCATCGAATATGGAGATGCAGAAGCTGGTGATGAATATGAGGATTTCCATAGGAACAGGGGCAAATGGTGGACGTCTTGTATATCTTGTAGGGTGTTTCCGAAATTTAGGAGAAATCGACAAAGATCCAGTGGGGGTGTACGAAGCAGTCATGGGTCAAGTTCGGATGGATCGTATCGAGGTGAAGGTTCTTCAAGATCTGTAGATATAAGAGAGTATAGATTTGCTGAAACTGATGATGAACTTGCATGGACTGGTGTTGGTGCTGCAACATCACTGATGATTCCCAGCCATTACAGGTGGGAGTAAGTTCTTTCTCAGTTCATACAAAATTTTGGCAATTATATGATCTGATATGTTATACACAGTGTTATGCGTCATTTGCCGAAGGTCCTAGAAACCTTTTTCATAATAACCTGCCAAACAACCTTAATTTGTGGGACTAGTGTTGGGCATATATTTATCCGGTCAAACAATGTAACCAATAAAATAGTTTTTCTAACAATGTAACCGATATAATAATTGGTGATTCTAACAATGATTCATCTATGTGTTATTTAGTTAGAGGGGGGAGAGGTTAGTAACTTAATAAAATTTGTATAATTTTCTTTTCTTTAACCAAATGCAAAATCGAGCAAGTAATTAACTTGTGCGTGGAATAAGTTTACTCTTCTTTACCCAGTGATACATTTCTTATTTACTCTTCTTTACCCAGTAATACACATTTCTTATTTCCTGCAAAATGTGGTGCATGTGTGTGTGATTTAAAGTATGAGATAATGAAATCAAACTGATCACAGAAAGACAGGCAAGACGAAATCCGAGATAGATGGGAGTAGACTAATACTTTTGCATTTTTTGCTGATATGCTACCCGTTTCATTATTTACAGATATGGGAGGCACCAGTCCCGTGTCTATTACCGATGATCTCACCGGAATGTGCAGCAGCTAGCCAGACCGGTTAAGACCGCCCTTTATATCATGTTAGATCTAAATTCTTTCTGGTTGATATAGGCTTTGCTTGTCGACAGGCATGTATATATAATAACCATAGCAAAACACACATGGCAATCCTAGATAAAATAGTAAGGGTGCATCAATGTGGTTTTACCTTCTTGTTGTAGGCTTAATTTTGTGGTTTAATAATAGATGAAAAATACTAGATTCACTTAGATCCACACACACATGAACATGATCTCTTAGGGTACATCAATCTAGTATATGCTCCACAGTTTTTTTCTTGGATGTATGCTATTAATTGAATTCAATGTCTGAATGAAGAGGCTGACTCCTTTCAGCTGCTCCAAGTTATAGTCTCCTAATCCTGTGTTGAGATCAATTCTAGTTAAAGATCTTGTAATGAGACGAAGGAACAGAGTACATTGATATCATCAGAGTACTGGTGAGATCACTCACAGTGCGCTGATATGATCTCTAACAGCAGGAGAACACCAGCCACAATTCCATGCATGGAGTGTACTTACTACGTCGATATCATAAGCTCCATTATACCGTAGCAATAGGCACTACAGTGCTTGTAGATTTCCAATTCAATACCTAATCCGAACTCAAAATCTGAGGTCTGGGATGGGGATTTTGGTAAATGCGTTCCAAGACTTGCTATGAGGGGAACTCTAAGATCAGATGACGGTCTCGATCGATGCTAACGTTTAGCTCAACTTCATTTTTCTCCGTATCACATTCTTTGGAACAATTCAGTTGATAAGTTGACATGAATCACATATTGGAATTCAGAGAGTAAAGTAGTACAAGTAATGTAATGGTTCGAACACTGTAATCTAATGGGTTTTCACACGCGAAAAAATTTGCCTCGTTGATCTGCCAAGCACACAGTGGCCATGTCCCGTGAGCCATGAAAGATCAGACTACAAGTGTCCAAACACAGTGAGAGGGGCCAAGGTGGAGGAGGAGGAGGGTTCGTGACCCAAAGCTAGTGGGAAGGAAGACTGCGTCATCGAAGCATGCGACTTTACCGTGTGCGCCTCCACTCTGTTCTGTTGGCTTTGGCCATTTGTTTCATATTTTAACAGGTTGGTATTAAAGGTGGCAGCAGTCGGGGCGGTGGCGGGGACACCAAAGTTCCATCATCCACTGCAAACCAAACCCTCTTCCTTGCGCCCACCGTCTCTTTCCTGTACTTTATTCATCGGCGCCCACTTATAGCGACGCGCTTACTCTTCTCGAGAGCAGCAAGGTGAGATGTCAGCTGCGTTCCTTTCTGCTGGGGCGGTCGCCGGCTACGTCGGCCTGAGGGCTGATGCTTCAGCTAAGCTTTTTCCAGAGAAAGACTGCTCCATTGGGTGGCGATCGAGGACCGTCTCCAATGGCTTCAGAACTCGGTGCATGAAGGTATGCTTGTGAGGATCCTATTTTGGGAGGTTTTTATTTGTTTCTTTGGATTTTGTCTTTTGAAGGTCTAAAGGTTCGATAAAAAATAAGAGATGTGAGTCTTATTGGAATTCTTAGATGTATTAATGGTGTTGGAGATTGAAATCACCTTACTGCATGTGAATACTTGGGAAAGACATCTAGACATCTGTAGGGGTTCAATCTTTTTCTTTTTCCTTGGGATACTTTAGATTGTTTGTTATTTTTCTTCTTATAGAAATCAACTTTGGGTGATGCTCTTCCCATTGACCCTGTTTGACTTTATGACACCTGCTTAATTTTATATTGTTATGCAACTGCATTTTTCTTTTTTGCTTTTATACTCTGAAAGAATCCAAGTCAACATTGTTTGCATCAAGTAAAAGCAGTGGCATTTAGGTTACTAAGAGAATGTAAAGCATGTTAGTATAAAGTGATTTAGCATGTGGAGACACAATCTAACTGAAGCAATACCAATGAGATTTATGTCTTGAGCATATTATTATATCAGCTCTTGGTCAAATGAGTCAATTGAATTCCTAAGCTTGCTGTCAGAGTCGAGTAATTCAACTATGATATGTGTCATAGCATCACTAAGAAGCTTAACATTCATCCAAGTTTGGGGTTTCTTCCTGATTAGACTCTGCCTTTTTTTGCTTTGATGTGTAATTAGACATGGAACCCATTCAATAACAACAAGTACGAGGCGCTTTCTTACCTGCCACCCCTCTCCAAGGAATCAATAGCAAAGGAGGTTGATTACATGATAGCTAAAGGATATATCCCCTGCTTGGAATTTGATGAGGTATTGTTCTTACTAGGACCTTATTTCTTTATTGGAAATATATTTATTGATTAGAAGTTCATGCATCAATATCGTCATGTGTGATCGATTAGCCTTAATAATTGATCTTCATGAGGTGAGTATTATACTTCATATAAGGAATAAAGATCTACCATATTGTGATTGTGATACTGACTAGTTTTAGTGCAAATACGATGTTGACTAGTTTTAGTTTTGGTTAGTTTATTTTTATTAGCAATAGATCCCTTTGCATAAAATTTGAATGCTACCGCTACCATAAAATTAGTAGAAAGTTTGGGATGCTAATCCTGATCAACTTGGTGATCTTTTATAATGACTGTATTATAAAAATTGATGCCAAGGTGAAATGTCTTATTATTTCCACACTTTTTTGCATGCGGAAGCCAGGAACGGTAGGCAGATTCACAAATTTAAACTTCAGTTTGGTTGATGTGGCTTTTATCATGTGATCAATCTTTTCAGCAATATATCTTTAGTTTTGACTTATGAAGTTGAGTTTTTTTTCTTTTTGTTAAGAAATGATTCATTGTTGATATACCATTTAAGGGTTTTCTGTGACTACTTAGTAATTAACATATTTCCACCTTTTTTTTTTCCTGGAGTGACAAACTGGGAATGGCAGGAGTATTTGTCTTTGGTCGACATAATTTTTTGGCACTTCGTTTGCAGGATTTAAGAACACTGAAACTAATAAGGTTGTTACAAGTTTCCGATAATTCCATACCCACCCAACAAGTGTTTGATCTTGCTTGAGGTATTTGTTTAGCTGCAGAGTCGAAGTTCTGCAGTGTCATAAAATTTTGCTAAATTCATGGAGCCATCTCAATTTTAAGCAGTGCTTTAAAAGTTGACCATGCATCAGATTAAAAAACAATGATGACGATGATGCTGATGGTGATTACAGTGGTGTAGATCAATCTAAAATATTGCAAGTCGTGGCTCTTTCAGAATCTACAAAGGCAGAGGTTTAATCACAAACTTGTAGTGCATATCTGTTTCTGTCTTTAATCATCATTTAGATCGTCAAATAACAACTATCAGAATGCTTTTGAAGTTTTACTTTGGCATTCAGCAAAGATCCTCATCGCTTATTGTTGCATTATCTTTTTTCCGATGACCATTGCATGATTATCCATCACCATTTATCTTGTCAAATTCCTGATCTTAAATTTTGGGCCATTGAAGGTGGGACAAGTGCACAGGACCAATAGCCGAATACCGGGCTACTACGACGGAAGGTATTGGACACTCTGGAAGCTACCAATGTTCGGATGCACGGACCCATCCCTAGTCCTTGAGGAGATCGAAGAATGTAAGCAGGTTTATCCTAATGCTTACATTCGCCTCCTGTCCTTCGACAGCCAGCGACAGTGCCAGTGCATGTCATTTGTCATCCAGAAACCCACATCCGCCACTGTTGCTAATGCCTAAACCTCTTGTTGTAGGCACTTGTGCAAGATAATAAGGTGGGAGAAAGAACTCTTTTAAGGTTTCGGAGTTGGATGTTTGTGGTAGTTTACGTTAAATAAGATGAAATGCTTGTCATAAGATTTCAGTTTGCTAAATGTGCCAGGCAAGTATTTAGTTTCTGATGGCATTGGCAATTTGTTCCATTAAGTTATCCATCTGCAGCAGCTAAGATCTACATGACGTTTACTGGTGCTTTGATGAATGATCTCCTACATCATTCAAGAACATAAATTCTCTGATATTTTGATGATAGGCATGTGAACTTTAACTTTTGGATCTGGTTGCCTAATTTATGATTTTTTTTTAATACCAAGTTGGATAGGTTCATCACTATTTTAGGTCAATGCCTTGGATAGAATGAACCTCCTCAAAATCAATTTAGAAGTTTTGAAATCTAAATAATTTTTTTTTAGGGTTAGAGGAAGAGTTGGATAGATGAGGAAGATGAAACTAGAAAGAGAATCAAAACATGATCAAGCCAAACATGAGATTTGGCTAACCTTTTCGGTTATTACACCAAGTAAAATAAGAGTCATTGTAACCAAAGATCTATTAAGCCACAGAGAAAATTAAATTATGAAAACTGAACTCATTGATGAAAAAATGGTTTTCTTTCTTAGTTCAATATTTAAAAGTAGATACAAGATGATGTTGTCATTATTTGTTGTATATAGTCGACTTCAATGAATGATGTATATGACTTGACTTAATGAATTTTTATTATAAGTTGCTAAAATAATAATATTCTATCCCTATCTAAAATTTTTGTATCCTCTAATTCCAATCTCAAATTTCTATTGATTTTAAATATGATCCCCTTTATGTTCCTGGGCACTATATATTTGTACAGACATTCCACTTTATAATTTGACAAGTAAATATCGATTGATCGAACCCTATCAAACTGGATTAATATAAAATATATAACATTAATTTTCCTGCAGGTTCAATTGAGTTTAAGCCAATTCCAGAAATAGTTGCAGTTGAATTTGTTCCTTCAACAATTATAAATAAAGAAGTTTAACTAGACATAAATATTATATTGTATAACATTATTAGTGGAATAGTTTTAATGGTTTTACTTCTAATAGTATTTATTATAGTTTGTATTTTTTTTTATCCAAAGGAGGAGTACAAATCAGAAACTTTAAGAGTCTCACAGACGAGATGGGCATAAGATCAAGATATTTTTAATATCTTTTTATTTCATCTTAGAGTCTAACCGCTCAAATGAAGTTGATACTTGTATAATATGTTTAGAAGGATTTACTTATAGAGAGAATTGTTAGATTGTCTTGTCATCGAATCTTTTGTGATGTATGCATAAATTATAGGTATAAAAGCTATTATTATGTTATTATTATACGAAAAATTTTAATATCAAAAATAAAAAATCAAATATGATACATCAGATTTCAGATGTAAACATGTTAATGTCATCCAGAAAGCATTTATTTGATTTGTAGGCCAACCATCATGAGCAATGGACTAGGGGAGATTGAGAATATCTAAAATCTTAATAATTTGTATATTATTCCTAAGAGGTCATGTCTTTTTCTAGGTGAGAGCATAAGATCTAAGATGATAATTATGATAGTTCTTACTATCAAGATGATCTCCTAAGGAATTTTACTATAATTAGATATCATTTCTATTGACCGATAATTATCATCAAAGTACAATCAAATCTATAATATATCTTACATAATTAGATAAGATCACATAATCTAACATTCTTCCACTTGTACCATTAATTAGTAAGATATTACAAAAATTAAAATTAAAATAACTAAAATAAAAATTTATTTAAAAATAATTTTACTTAATTAGATTCTAAAAAATTTTATAAAAAAATTATACATGACCATAAATTTTAAAATAAGCCAATATGTCCAATAAGCATAATAATATTATATTAAGTCTAACTACTAATGCAAGTCATAGCGAATGTATCACAATACTATTAATTTTTCCTAATCCATAATAATCACTATAATTTATTTGTCAATATAATTATGTTATTATATTTAATTATAATATGTATAAACATAAATATAAATAGGATAATAGAAATAAATAATTTTAATTAAGGAAGAAAAATATATAATAGCATCCACCTAAACATGCATTGGTATATTTTTATGGTTTGCTCACAAATTTTATTCTAAGAATATGTTCTTTAAATATTTTAGATTATAAGCTTTAGTAAATAGATTAGTAATCATCAAGGTGATGTTCAGGTTCTCAATTGATTGTTGCAATTTCTAAACTTTTTATCTAACCACCAAGTACTTTATTCTTAGAGAAAAAAACTACTATAGTATTATCACAAAATATATTCAATGGTTTGACAATTCGATTAATCACACCAAGTCTGAAGATAAAATTTCATAATCATAAAACTCAATTTTTGATCTCAAGGTATACTACAAATTCAGCTTCTATTATTGATAATGCAAAAAATGATTACTTTGTACTTCTATAAAAAATTTCCTCTCTAACTAATGTAAATATAAATCCTGAAATGGACTTCTTACTATCGAGACAATTTACAAAATCAATATCTAAATATCTCGTCATTTTAAGTTGATATGATATCTTGTATGTGAGTATATAATCTATCGTCCCTTATATATATCTTATTACTTTCTTTATAACTTTACAATATTTCATTCTTGGGTTGTCATGGTATCTACCTAGCATTCTAACTATAAAATTGATATATAATCTTATATAAGTTTGAGTATATAATAGACTTTCAACTGCACGAAATATCATTTATTTGATTCTTTTTTAAATTATTTTTGAGGCACTAGTTTTGTTTGAATCTTTCACATTTAGTAATTTGTGTATTATTAGCTAAACAAAACTACCTATTAAATTTCTCTAAGATTTGATGAATATATTTTTTCTATGACAATCCTAACCCCTAAACATCTTAATCCTAATAACATAAGACATCTCAATCATATCAGCCATCTTAAATTTCTTGATGAAAAACATCTTAATTTTGTATAATAAATCAATATCACTACTAGTAACAAAATATTATCCACATATATAAAAAGCTTGCTTTTACTAATCTTTAGATATATGTACTAATCAGTAGTATTTTTTTTTAAATATGAAGGAAATAATGATATCATAAAATTTTATATACAATCATTTGGAAACTTGTTTATGACTATAAATGGATTTTCTAAGTTTACAAGCTCAATTTTTCTTTTTCTTTTTTGTAAATCCTTCGTGTTGTTCTATATAGATTTTTTCATCGCGATCCTCATTCAAAAATATTATTTTTATATATATTTGATATAACTCAAGATCATAATGATCTTCAATGAGTTATTTTTAGAAGCTAAAGAAAATGTCTTATTATAATTGATGCATTCTTAAAAAAAACTTTAGCAACAAGTTTAGCTTTATATTATTCGATATTACTCTTTTAATTATATTTTATCTTAAAAATATATTTACAACTAACTCTTTTATAGTTATTAGGTAATTTATTGAGTTCTCAAATATTATTTTGGTCTATTTATTTTAACTGTTATTTTATTGCATCATATTACTTTTCAAAATTACTACTTTTCTTAGCTTATGAAAATAATAAAGGATCCCTTTTAATCTTCGTGTCATAATCTAATTCTTATAATATATCACATAATTATAAAAAATGATAGGTCTTTTTTTTTCCTTTGAGATTTTCTCAAAATTATCGAGTGTGGTTATTCTACAAGATTATTAATAGTGACATCAACATCATATGAGAGTTTATCAATGTTATTTGGTTGTTTATCCTCATTCTTTTAGTGATTTGAGAAATGATAATCTCCAGAATATAAAATGATAAATGTGTATTTGCTTGTATCTCTTTGATATCAAAATTGATCATCAAAGATTTTTTACTCCTACTTATTTCATCATTTTTTAAGAATATTATATTACTAGGTTCTACTATTCGTGTAATATGATTAGAATAATAAAATATGTATCCCTTCAAATCTTATATTATCAAATCATAGTTTGATCTTGAATTTAATGCAAGTGGTCGAACAAGATTCTTGTCCACCTTCTCCGATAGTACAATTCAGGGAACTCTCATTCTGTGTTCAACAAGAATGTTGCTTTTCACCACTGCCCATCTTTTTCCCATATTATTTCTCTGGTTAATGTTTTGTAAGTTGTAACATATGCTTAATTCGCACAGCCTGTAGGATAACAACAATCTCTTCATGCATCCAATTATTATAGTTAGGAATTCCTTAATACTGTTCTTCTAATCCCCATGAGCACCTGAGCTTAATTAGTGATGAGATTGGTATATATATATGATTAATTGGTTAGTTAAGGAAAAACTGATAAATAATTTAAAAAATATAAAATTTATTTTATTGTTATTGTATAATTAAATAATTGAATGTTTATCATTTTCCTTAGGACTTCAACGATAGATTGGTTGAAAGCTTGGACTTGAGGTAAGTGGCTCGTCCACCCAAATAGGTGTTTTTAGCACAATAATATTTATTTTTAAATAGTTTAAATCTGGGTAAGCATTTAGTTTTATTGTTTGGATATGATAACGTGTTATAGGCTTTGCTTTAAACATGATTTATGTTTACTATGATTGTACTATGATATGCTTTCATTATGTGTTATTATGATTGTTTTAATCATATTTTTTATCATAAATTAATGCATGTGATAATAGCAAATATTTATATTATATATGTATTTTTAAGTTAATTCTCATTAATTCCACTATAAGAGCTTGTACCTCGTTATGGTATCCAAGAGTGGTAAACCTTTAGTCCGATGAAGGGATGACATTTAATTCCACCGAGATGAAAGCAATGAGGTAGTAGGAGTGATACCCGCTAGTAATTTTGTAGGAAAAATTATAGAGAAAATAGTTTAGAAGATGATTTTTAAGGATAATATGCTATCAGTTCGTATGGTTAGTTTATAGTTTGAGTTATATTTTGAGGTTCAATGTGTATCGGAAAGATTTCTGATTTCTTACAACTTGTTTGGGGTGGCTATGTCCTAAATTGGATGGTTGGAGTTGTGGATTCAATGTGCTCGACTCTCCAAGCATTGCTAATATCAATGTCTCGAAGCACATCTCTGTCTCCAAAAAGTGAATTTGGATTTAATCAAAGGAAATGTTAACTT